CMAAAAAAARGAAGGAAAAAGTATACGTACTCGAATTTCATAAGTAGTCAAGTTTTGGAAGGTCTGTGATTGAATTTAAACTTTTAAGTGAGTCATTTGTATTCTCCTCTGTTATGACTAACCCATAGAAAATGAGTGATCTTTGTCACAACTTATATAGGTAAAAACAAGACTGCTGCTGAGTTCCTTCTGTGCTTGCAGCACAGAGGGGAAGCTTGCCCAGCTGGAGCTCAGAAATAGGTGCTGTCACAGCTCCCAGTCCTCAGTATCCAGCCAGGTATAAAAATGCAGAGAAGAAACTTGATTCACTATTAGATTTATTTATAAAATAAACATGTGTACWTAATAGCACCATGCTGTCTATTTATAAGAGCAATACACTTCAGCAGTCAGTCTGAAAAAAAGAGAAGCTTACTATGAAAGCAAGCTTAAAATGATGCAGCTGAGATCACCGGATGTAGCATGCAAACTGAGCCATGGATCACCTTAAAACAAGATCTGCAGGCATCCAGCAAGGACAAGGCAAGAGCAGTGTCCATTGGAGGGGAGAGTGCAGAAGGTGCCCTGGGAAAGGACAGAACAGTGCCCAGAGTCAGAGGTGAAGGCAGCAGAGGCAGAAAGCACAATGCATCTGGGAACAGCAAGTATAACAGGGAGCAAAATATCTTCCCTTAGATTTGTGTTTTATCCCATCCCTCCTCTCCACAGATTGGGGMGCTTTCATTTGTCTCATCAAATAAGAAAATATTAAACTGAAATAAAAAAATCAGCTGTGCAGTGATACCAATTGTTTTTTTTAAGAGTAGAAACTGCCAAGCTGCATCAAAAATGTTTTCATTACAAAGATCAACTTAGTGAAAAGATGCAGTGCTCATTTAATGAATTTATAATCCATAGTTCATGACTATATATTTGTAGAATTCACYGAGAAAAACCTTATTTTTCTATCAACTTTTCCAAAAAGCATCTRTCAAAAATCTGGCTTTCAACAGAARKGTAAATATAAAATTAAAAAGAAAGGTACAGTTGTTATCCAGTCATCATTATGCAGACAAAGGACCTATGGCCTTCTAGCACTCCTCCACACCACGTAACCATGCAATTAAAAGCCATCTGCAGTACCTGAAACCAGCTACTCTCCTTTTGTAAGAAACTTCTTCCAAAAGTATGTTGTAGAAATGCTTTTAAGGAAGAATTTTCTAAACAACATTTTGCACTCAAGTGCTGACTGAGTCATACATTTATGTCTGACTCTGCTAACAGAGCAACACATATCAGCCAGCAACAGAATTCTAAACAYTGTATTAGCACCCTGACAAGCTACATAAGATCTCTGATTCAAAACTAAGAAGTTGAAATCTTTCTTTGATGGCAGATGTCACAGCTGACATGCTGACAAGCAAGCTAAAACTAAGTTTTGCCAAGGAAACTTCATCTTCCCACAACAACATCAAAAAATGGTAAAGGCCGTTACGGTAGCACTGGGCTGCCATCATATGTGTACAGAACTTTCAGCAAATTTCACAGGGTCAAGGCACAAATTCCAGAGCCAATCCTTAATCAGCGATACTCATTCAATGCCAGGGTATTCTCTGGTGTGGTTTTGGTCCGGACCAGCAAGTGCACCATTAGAAATAAGCTACAGGGTGGGCTAGGGTACTTCTGTATAGGCAGTAGGGACATGGCCAACCTCTTTCAGGAACAGAAGGTATTTTGCATGAAAATGCATCAAAATTTGTATGATATCTGTCTGAAGAATCAGAAGGTGGAACACTGGCAGATGCATGGGCATGTTCATCTGTAATTTTCTCCCGTTATTATGATACTGGTCACCCCTGAGATCTTGCTCAAACTGGTGGGTCAGGCCCCAGYTGCAACCCCATTTCATCAGTGACAGAACAAGGGGGATTTGCTTGAAACTGAAAGAGGGTRGSTATAGTTTAGCTATTAGGRAGAAATTGTTTACTGTGAGAGTGGTGAGGCACTGGAACAGTTTGTCCAGAGAAGTTGTGGATGCCCCAGCCCTTTGTCAGGTTGGATGGAGCTCTGAGCAACCTGGTCTAGTGAAAGGTGTCCYKGTCCACAGCAGCAGGGTTGGAATTAGTCACAAACAGGGCTCCTCAGAGATCAGAACAGGAATCTGGGCTTTGAATTATGGATGCAGATCAGCTAGAAAAGAGTGTCTGGTAAGGTCMCAGAGTTTGCTGGTAATACTGATTAGGAGAGTAAAAACAAAATATCAGCGCAACGAGTTACAGAGAAATCTTACAACGCTGAGTGAATGAATGAYAAAAGGCAGGGGAAACATTACTGAATACAGCACTGGTACATTTCACAGTGAAAAACTAAATTAATCCTAAATTTGCTGATGCTCATGCACCAATGAACTCATTCGCTCAGAAAATAGCTCTCACTACTCAGGAAATATAACTTGGCTTTTTTTGTATACAGTCCTGTGCAAACATTGGCTTATTGCTCAACACAAGTAAGAACTAAAGAAACTACTATAAATCATTAAGAAAGGAATAGAAACCACAATAAAAGACCTTTTAACATCCTTGTGCAAATAGAAAGTATCTGGAGCTATACAAGAGCAGTTTATGGTTTTAGTCTCCCAACCTCAAAAACAAAAACCTGAAATCAATACAGAAAAGGGCAAGAAGGACCATCAGTGATRTGGAACAGTATCCGTATTTCTCAGAGTGACCAAACAATTTTTAATTTTCTACATGAAACAGAGGTGAGTAGAAGTATATTATTGTTAATGCCCAGAAAATAATTGATGTTATTAACAAAGTGAAGGAAGAAAACTTATTTGCTGTTTCAGAACAGGAACTGAGGTCAAGTCACAGGTTTAAAACAAAGAAATAAAATGCTGTTTTGCACCATGAATAATCAAAAAGTAAAGCCTATTGCTAGAGAATGTTTGGTCCCTATGAGACCAAAATGTAACAAAATTCAAAAAGTTACTGGCAAAAAATAATGAAAGAAGGCATAGTCAAAGAATTCTAGGTAGAAGAGATTGATTCAGGAAGTCCCTAAGATTTCACTAATTGAAATACAATGGGAAAAAATTTCACCCACATCTCCTTTTATCCCTAAGCATTCATTAGAAGTCACTGTCACTTGGGCAGGCTCCATGACTTCTCTTCTGATTCTTCTTCAGAAAGTTTGGCTCCACCAAGATGAAACTGTGATCAGAGCTAAAATGAACATCTGATATATAATCTCCCTTTCTTATTTGATCTTACCCTTGCTTTTTACTAGTTAAAGCAGCTTTGATGTAAAACAGAGTTAACAAAATAGAATCTTGTTKCATTTAAACGAATTAGTAAAAGTAGAATATTAAAAGCATCCAAGAACCTGCAGCAGACTCTGCTGCTATCATACACCTCAAGATTCAATAGGATTGTAGCTTGTCATTTGGCCCATGTCAGGATTTACAGCTACTTAAAACAGGTGTGTATTCAGCACAGAAAAAAGAAATAGCTCTGTAGAAGCAATGCAGCTTTGTAAAAAGATGTTGACTGCAGTTTTTTCAAAGAACTAAGAAAGCAAATAATAATAAGATTTTGTGCTTGTGCAGATTTTGACAGTGTAACACAGCTGTGCTATACATACCAGCTGACTCTCAGCAACAATAGGCACCGATTTGTAAAGGTTGGCCTGCAAAAAAGATGAATATATACAGTATTATATGCAATATCTTTGAGATTATAATGATGACGGAGAAAAATCCAGGTACAGCACTAGGCTTAGCTTAGTTACAGAAGCTTTTCCCACTGATGCAGTTATATGACACAATATAAAATATTCTCGTTTCCAGTTTATTTCAAGATATAATCAAACATAAATGCTTGTTGTTAAGATTTTAGGGATTCTTTTTTTCAAAGTTCAACAAAATTTCCTTTCTCATTGTGATCTAATCTTTAATTTTTAATCCTTATTTTTTCTGAGCCTTCTACTGTTTGTTAATTTGCGGCATCAATGCTATTAATGTTATCAGTAGTATTGGAAGGTTGGTCCAACCTTCTCAACATTTTCTAACTTTACAGTAGGAGGACCAGAACAATCCTACTTAAGCATACATGTCAGTAACATGTCAGTAACATTCATTTTTTCCTATCTASAAAATTCCTATCTAGAGAGTCATATAATTATTAAAAATCAGTAGTATCATCCCTAAAGCAAACAGAGATTTATTATTAAATAGTGAATGTGATCATATTGAAGACTATAAAAGTTTTAAAATATGTTAAATTTCAACTGTAGTATTTAGTTGTCAGCTGGTATAAACTGAAGTTAGTTTTCATACTTTSTATACACTYCGTTGTTATTTGTAAAATCATTTAMATCTTTAAAASGTTCTGAAGYACATGAGAAAACAAAAGTTAGCTGAGGCCAAGGCAAATCTATAACATTTTAATTGTTAAATGGCAGGCCATTTCCACACAATTGTAAAATCTACTACTCTATATAACCTACCTAGCAATATTATCATGTGCAGATACATATGTCTTTATATATGGTGGTTATAAATAATACTTTAGTATTACTCATAAGCAAATGTAAGCTCCTCTTTTAATCAAAAATGCCCTCAAAGCAACATTTTGACAAGCATCTCAATGTTAAATATCATAAATACAAAAAAAATTCTATTTCTAAATTGACATTTTAATTCCTTCTAGTAAAATTAATTCAGTTGCAAAACAAAAAAATGGCAGAGTGCAGAGGAGCCTGGACCCACCAAGTTTAGGCAGTCCCAGCAGCACAGCCTGGGCACCCCAATCTGTCTCCTGACACACAAAAAATTCAACACACTTGTACAATTTATAGGAATGGCTAGCCTACCAATAAGGCTCTATGTTATWCCCAAACATATTTTTAAACATTTATTTGTTTTATTTATCTAGAAAGTTCTGGTGGAGACTGAAAAGAGGCTGTTCGTAAGGTTGGTTTTCCATGCCAGAAAAGAGAAATTGACTGTATTCCTAGGCATCCTTAAACTGAAGGCCTGAATTTATAATATATGTCAGCCCCAGTTTTGGGAGCTGGAGATCTGCACTGGAGTGTTATTAAACACACTCTGTTCTCAAAGACTACCTATGAAGTACACTGTTTTATTTCATTAAAAAGCTCTCCTCTGATATTCTTCCTAATTAGTATGAGCCAGCACAATCTGTCAAGTGAAAATCACAGTATGCAATAAAATATGCATACTGCCACATTCAGGAAGCAAAATTGAATTGATCAGTCAAGAATTGTGCTGGCATGAAACTGGGAGACCTCTATTGCTTTGCCAGCACTGCTTTGATTTGAAGTTCAGTAGAAATGCTGAATGATGAACAGTAAGCTGAGATTTCTCACCACATGACTAGAGGAGTTGCAAGTAAAATATGGAACCTGCAGTAGCTGTGTATGCYAGAGAGAATTAAAATGTTAATTGAGTTTAATATTGCAATAATTGAGAAAATTACTCAATATAGATATTTTTGTCATATATTGGAACATGTATGTATGTGACAAAACATTCTCTATTCATCTAAACTATGGGTTTTCAGCCAGCTCTGTACCTTGGAGAGAAAAGTTTGGATCAACCCCAAATTCTGATGGAGAAGCAAGAACTAAAGGACTTCCACCAAAGCACGTCCCCTAGGGTTCCGGCTGAGCCCAAARAAATGCACCCTTCAGCACCCAAAAGAGTCTGTTTACCCAACAGCTGAGCTCTTACCCTGTGCTTGAAACAACAACAGAGTGTGTGAGGAAATTAATTTTAACATCATATTCATACAGGTAAAATTATCAACACAGAACTGAAGACTCTCCAGCCATGATGGATTTACTACAGTGGGAAAATGCCTCAAGTCTCAAATGGCAGCACTGTGATATATTTGCTTCTCTATGTTAGTCAACACCTGCTTTCACAAGTAGATGCTTGTCCAGACTCACACAGTATTGTCTAAGAGCAGACAAAATAAGCACTTCTGCATAAAAAATATGGAGTAATTGTAAAAGTACTTACATATCTGGTTTCACGCCCWGCTGCTCTCTGAAGTGTTGTTGACGTCTTGTGAAAAAATAAATAGACATATAATCAATATATTGAGTTACTCTGAACAGTAACTCCAAGAGATTTTCAACATTCTGAGAAGTTATTAATTGCTCAACTTCAGAAAAACTGATGTTTTCCAGAAAGATTCACACCATACATGAGACTAAGGCATATTTAAGTTTTGCTTGTATGTTTATTGTAGAAAAAACTGCTTCATTTTACTGCTCAGAAACATTGATCCTGGTCTTTTAGGATAGCATTTAATATGAGAACTCTCATAACAAAATGCCTACTTAGCCATAGGTGTGGTTGCCACATGAAATTTAAGTTACATTTGCTCACAAAATAACCTGAAATGCTCCCTCTCCATGCTCTTATTTGCAAGAACATGCTTTCATTTGACTAATTCCATAGTAATTCTAAGGCATTTACGTATCAACTCTTTTTCATGTCTATGACCTCCTTTAACACCCTGTTAAGCACTTTTTTATCTCATTCTGAGATCCTCACCACCTTTAGCTTGGTCCCTATGCTACATCTTGTGAARCTCACCTTTTTCCCCTTTAATTTGATTTCATGACTGCTAAAAGATGCTTTCTATTCTTAATTGCCCAAGGAAATAGCTTTTKGATACTATAGCTCAGTGTTGTAGCAGAACTCCAGATTCTTCAAGCACTGAAAAACACTCTCCATGACAGTATCTGCCTGTCCTTCAGCTGCTACCACATTTCTTTCAGCCTCTTGAAGTCCAATTCACCACTGCGTGCTGACTGACAGAAGTAATTTGAAAAAAAGATAATTAAACTTGAATTGTATATTCAATAGAGCCACTCAGAAATGCTGGACCTGTGCCCTATGTTTGCATGGTGGACTGGACACTCAGCAGGCTATTTCTAATGGATTAACTTTTTGATGTGTTCATCTGCCAGAAATTCCTTTCCTCCCATTTTTAGTTGGATTTCTGCCATTTTCACTTTCCTGTAGCTACCATGATAAATTTAAATTTACCTGGAGCAAACTGAATGCAGTACCTTTTTCCCTTGGTTAGCCATCCTTCTGAACCCAGAAGACACTCAATCAATATAACTTAATGAAACCAGAAGTTTAGACCCTGGCTCTCACTACCTATTTCTTATTTAACCAGGAGAAAGAGATGCAGACATCCTCCTTCTGGGAGTGGTGAGACTTAAAATGAAATCAGAACTTCAGAGCAAGTCTATTTATTAATTTAAKTATCCCATTATTTGAAAATAAATAATGAACTTAAAAAAAAAAAACTATTCTGAAAGATGCCTTCTGTCACTGAAGCTAGAARCATTGGTTGCTTTTTTGCAAGGGCACACTGATAGGATGAAATCTGGGAGAAGGCCACAGATCTTGCCACAGGGCAGGCAAGGTATATGAGATTTTTATCCTCTTTCTCTTTCATAATACATCTCCTGACTTCAGGAAAGCATCCTGCAGCAAAGACTGCACTGACTCCAGGGCTACAGGTCTGTCCTTCCATGCTTTTTTAACCACCAAACTCCTCTAATGCTGCATTTCTCAGCTGCAGCTTTTTGTTGCCATTGGTTTTACTGTTGGGACAGTCTCTACTGCCTACAGATTTTCCCTGCCTTGATATCTACCTGAAAAGAACTCCTGGTGTGGAGGTGGGCTTGTTCACCTACCTTGCCAATATCTGTCTCCGTGCTCATCTGCAGAAAACTTGGAGAAGACTCACATCGGCGCTGGAAAATTATTTTCAACAGAGAATGGACTTATTAATGGCAAGAGACAAAAGGAAAGGAAGAGACTAAGTCCATTCCACAAACTGATGGTTACCATAGTCAGTGGGTCCTGCAGGACTTGGTCAATGACAGCACACAGCTCTTCTGTTTGTTGTCTGAGTTGGGCAGGRGAGCACATCTGAAAAGGGAGAATGGATCACTCAGTAAACTTTTCTTTTTGCTTTCAAATATAGATCTGAACGATAAATAACAGCACTACCTCTGAATGAGTGTCCAAAGCAGTGCCTTCAGTCACGCTAGGAGGCTTGGCTGGCTCTTCTAATGCCTGCAATTCAAGAGGTATTGATGTGATACCGAGTTGAAAATTTTAAAAACCAAGCAAACATACATTTTTTCCAATATTTACTTTTACCATGGAAAGATGGACAAAAAAAAGAAATTACAGGCCAAATAATGTTCTTCAGGTTACCAACACCTGACGCAGAATGTGGATAGAGGTTTGCRGAGAATGGAGTATGCAAGCAGGGGGAATGGTTTGGAAATCAGAAACTACCAGTTTAAATTGTCTCTTCAACAATATCCCCTCCTTCACAGWAAATGTGACACGGAGAGTGTGTACTGTGTGTGCCACAGGGGCGTTGGGAGCTCCTGCTGYATGCCAGCAGAGATAAAGCAGCTGAGAGCAGGCGGACAGGGCAGGGACCCAAACACACAGGAAGCCATTTCTTTTCCTTTGGTAGATGTTTTCTGTAAAAAGTGTCTCCTGTTTAGAGAGGATGTCGATTCCACCTTTTAACAACAATAGTGTTTGACATTCATGGGTTTTAGCCTGAAATAGAAATGCATGGAGCAAAATATGTTCTATATTATATCTGTGATAAGCAGGTATGCARTCTTTCCAAAACAAAATACAAGCTTCTTGTGTTTGGATATATCTCTCACTTTCTTATGCCAGTACTTGGAACAGGTTTGAGAACAGTGGAAATCAGTTTGCTGATCCCTTCATTTCATAAGGGTCACAAAACACCCTCAAAAGCCAAAATCCTCTGCTCAGTTCCCTTTTCATCTTCATCCAGAATCTGTGAAGCACACTCTCCCTGCCATCACCCAGTTTTGCTTTGAAGTGATTTTCAAATAGAYACCATGCTGAGACCAAAAATTACCCTGGAAGCCTGCTGATGTGTGAAGCTGGACTACAGGGAAGGGAACTGCAGGGTTTGTGGAGTTTTTTGTTTAACACATTATGCTTTTGTAAGGTTTCACTTCATCAGTTATTAAGAAAAAAAAAAGTATAAGAGAAAAAAATAGCATTCCAGTAAAGCCCTTTTTCATACATGTGGGATTCTGTGGGAATGGACTAGTCCCAGTGAGGAAGATATGAGGGCTGCCAAATACAAAAGACATTTGTGGAGTTGTGAGGGAAGTGTGAGAATCTTTTCAAAAATAAAAAAGAAAATAAGCATACTTATTTTTGAGTTTTTCTTTTCTGAGTACATTTGATTTCTTTWCTTGTCCAGTTACTGGCAGCATATATCTGTATACACCTAAATGAAAATTTACTTTTAATATTATTTATCATTATTCTAATACTATGCACAAATTATCTTGCACAAAAGTGCATTTATGGAACACCATGTCTTCTATTAAAATAAAAGTCGTTGCTTTCCAAACATTTCTTCCTTCCTCTCCTTCTCTTGACTTTAGAGTAGTTGTAGTTCAAAAGGTAAAAAAAGTAAAAGTGATTCACTGTGATATACAGAAATTAATGTAATCTTATCCCAAGACAGACCATGAAAATAAATATTTTCTCATCTCTGCTGTTTCCCAGCTGAAGTTCCTAAAATACCAACAGASAGTCCTGTCAAAGAGGAGGGCTCCACTAAGTTGAGCTCAGCACTGCACTCAAGCACAGTGGCCCTGGTTCGACTCCACTCAAGATCACATCCTTCTGGTAAACTTGAAATGAAGCAATAAAATTTAGTAGAAGAGTCATTTCAGTGTCTATTAGGGTCAGGATTGACACAGCAGCCTGTTGTAGAGGGGCGATGAGTCTGAATGTGAGTTTGGAAAACGTTTAATCAATCAAGGGTTTGGAATGGGGAAACACCTGAGCTTTTCAAAACCCCCAAGAAACCAGTAACACAATAAACATAATAAAGGAATTGTTAAGAAAAAACCTACATGTTTCTGTTTCACATTCACTTCACCAGAATAGTGGATGAACACAATCAAGGGTAAGAAACAACCACCCTGAAGATTTGGGGGAATCTTTCTAGAGGAATTACAGCTACATCCAAAAGTCTGTATTCAGAACCAAGACTCTGGCTAACTTAAGAAGCAAACATCTATCTGTTTCAGTAGAAATGAAGAATATCTTTCCATTTTGGAGCCTTCAGTAACTAAGGAATTCAGGTGAATTCCTTACACGCCAAGGTCTGTGTCCTCCACAATCCCTCTGAGATACAACCATCATGCAGGAGCMGAGCTAGAAAAAACTGTAGTGCTCTCCCTTTCTGAACGTTTGGAAAAGAAAATTTTAATCTTCAAACCGATTAATCAAATTTCTTTAATTCTTTTTTCTTTTTCTTTTTTTTTCTTATTTGAATAGCTGAGTCCTCCAAAGAAAGAGAAGAAACAGGGARCTATACTTCCTATAGATATTCCTATCACCTCTACAAAGTTAAATGGTTCTGTTTAAGCTGTTAGCTGCTCAAAACACATCTCAAGTTTTTTTTCCAGCATGCCTTCTTTTCTTCATGTTTCCACAGAGAAAATATTTGAGATAAAAATATACAACTGTTTTGGTTTTTTTTTTCAAAATTACTGGTATTATCATGCAAAAATGTTATGATTAATTTAAAGCAGTACTGCTATCACATACTGCTGATTAGCATTATCAACAGTATTCAAGATTCACTTCCTATGCTGATGGTCTGACAATATTAAAAGTGGAACATTCTTATTTAGACATTCAAATTTTTGATTATRTATGAAACAACTCTGATACCACAATTTAAAAGAGGATTGTAATTTAGATAATGAAAATGTAAAGTAATTTAACTGAAATAACCAGTTGCTGAATCRCTAATTCTTTTTCCTTGAAAAGGGCAGCTTTGAGTGTGTGATGCATATATGCCATTGACAACACGGATGACTACAACCTTCCCCTCCTCTTTCTTCCTTTTTTGATTGCTAAAACTGTATCAGAGCTGAAAGGATATTGGTAAATTACCCAAACACAATCTCCAGTATTTTGTTAGAAAAATGAAAGGTCTTGGCAACATTTAGGAAATTTAGAACATTATTTCATTCACCATCACATCAATAGAAAGAGAAAAAATGAATTTTGTGACCTAGCTCTGACATARATTTATTCTTACTGTATTGTGAAAATCCTGGACTGAGCATATTTTTCCCATCACTATTTTTTCCTAAACTCTCAGCACATGCAAAAAAATCCCACTTTATAATGGAACTTCACATAACATTAATTCCTTTAACTTACTTCTTGAAAATTCTGGAGGATTTTACTGAAAATTTCACTCAAATTATACTGACTATTTTCTATCTTATAAAATAATTAATACTGAAAACTGCAAGGCCTGTGAAAAAAAAGAGGGAGCTCCTACATTGGCACATTTGATTACTATTACAGACAAAAAAGGTCTTTTGTTTAGTCCTACAACTACACAAATTATTGCCTTTCTTTCTTAACTCAAATTTTCGTCTCTAGCCTTGAGAAACACTTGGATGTGAACACATAATGTGGATGCAAGAAATTCACCAGATAAGTGCTCACCAGAAATATTTGGGGAAAATTAAAATCTATTTTTATCAAAATATTCCCAAAAAAAGTCTTGTCAGAACTGCTTTCCAGGTCCAGAAAGTTCTGACAAGCTTGACAATAGCCAATCGTCCAGCAKTTAGGTCAGTCATCTGAGAGTGGGAAAAATTGGCTTCCACCTTCCTGCTGTGTGATTTCAAGGAGTGACCTGGATCTGCATTTGCTGTGATCAGTTCCCATAGCAATAGATTTTTGATAATACAGTAAGTAGGACTTTCCTAAAGGCAAGAATTTAAAGCTGGGTCTTCAATGTAGCTGAACACTGCCATATTTCCTCAGTTGCATTGCTCCCTTTTCATTAAAAAAAAAAATTAAACCAAAAAAAAAAAAAAAAAAAAAAAAAAAAAAAAAAAAAAACAAAAAACAATCAAACCCAAAACCCAGTATAACCTCTTTTTCCTTCTGCGTGCAGAGGAAAATACCTTTTTCTTTTCTTTTTTTTCTTCCACAAGGAGAATATGCTGCACTGCCCATCATCTGTTTTGTAGATGATGGGAAGTAATAACCAGGTCTTTGGARTTTTCCCAGAAGTATAGCAAAATATGGAAAGATTTGTTTTACTTTTTCTACACTGATTTAGAACTGAAATTATTGTTGTCTGATTGGAACAAGTTGATAAACACAATCCAGATGAGTCAACARTTGCAACTCTTCTATCTGTAGATATTTATACCTGGTGTTTTTCAGAGGACTTGGTAAGTGTGAGGTCWCAGCTGTGTAGCAGGTGTGTTTAATGACAGATTCCATCATCCTGGGCTGTAAAATGTAGATATACCTATCTTAATGCCAACCCCAGATCAAGCTGAGAATAACTGCAGCACCAAGTCTGTATGGCTGTTTCCTTCCCATCAAAATGAAGCCCAGATAAGGGAAATTCACTCCAATCAGCATGTACAGAGGATGTGTAGCTGAACAAATACAGCAAACCCAGACTCCCCTGCATAGACCAAAGACCACTGAATTGCTCAGAGAAGACTTTTTTTGGCTCATAAATCCAAAGCCTAAAACAGTTTTTTGTTACATCTCAAATTTTACATAATCCTTAAGATGAAGTTGGAGTGTTTTAAGGGACTGCTTTCAAGGCCCAAGAAAGAAAGAGGAGCTAGGGTGTTCCTACATTGGCACGTTTGGTTATTATTACAAACAAGCTCTTTTATTGCTCTACAACTGCAAAATGATTGCCTTTCTTCCTTAACATGAGGCATATAAAGTTATGAATTTTTCTGTAGATCCTGGAAATAAATACTTCATCTATCTGTTTTGACTGAAAGACATTGTAGTGGATATTTGATAAATACACCCTCTAAATAGTAGACACATTACTTTTTAAATAGTATTGAATTAGGAATGGAATTTTGAATTAGATTGTGATCACATCYATAAAATTGTAGAACCTACACAAGAGTGAGTGTCTGCAGAGGAGGGATTCACCATCTCAACATTAATAAGGCCAGAAGGAATAACAGTGCTCACCTCATCTGACTTCTTTAAACCCCAGGACTACCTGGAATTTGTATATGTGGGGCTAGAAAAATGTCCTGTCTTGATTTTTCAATTTCTGTGACAAAGAGCCTGTGTCAGTCTCCAGCAATTTTTTGTAGTGGTGAATTCTTTCAGTCAAATTTTTGCCTCTATTGAATTTGTTCAGCTTCCTCTTCTGCCCTGTGGATCCTATCATCAGCTGGGCTGGAGAGTTCAGTACCACAGTCTGTGGACCAACCTCATAGCTCTGAATTTGTGTGGCTGTGATGGCACTGCTGACTGACCTTGATTGTCAYCAGCTCATCATCAGCATTTCTGCCGTCCTTGCTCAGGCACTGTGGAGCTGTGCCCTTGCTGGTGAGGACATTGTCCTGCCACCTTTGCTGCCATCTCAGCTCCTGACTCACCTTCCCTGTGGGGTAACCCACTCTGGCTGTTCCCTGACAGAGTCTGACCATAAGATAAGCTGAGGATAAATCCCTTAAAAARCACATTTTGGTCTTCTGGCTGTGAAGGAAGTTACAGCCCAGCGTTCRAAGAGATGTCCTGGATAGGGCTTTTTCTGATTAAAGAACAGGTGGTGTAGAAACATCAGGTTCATACAAACTCAGACAGCTGGGAAGTGTGCCAGTGAGGAGATTTTATGAGATTGAGCCACTTCTGGGTTACTCAGAGTATACACATATGTARCCAATAAGCCTTCTCTTCTCTATTAATGGGCACACAGTTGAACAMCTCTCTTTGAGTCACAGTACTGAAGGATAAGAAGAACATATTCTAGAAAAAACAATAAGAAGATGACAGCCTAATGGTTTCATAAGCAGAAACTGAAAAATGCTGGTTTAAAAATTAAAGCTTCTACACAAACACAAAAGAAAACTTGAGAAAAAATTYTAGACACAAGGAGACAATTTAGAGGAGACAAATCATAGCACCTTACATGGCACATCAGTGGCAGTTTTCTGTTGTGGGATCTAATTAATAGTGCAGATGAATTRTTACTAAAATAACCCACAATACAATTCTGACTAATTTTATTTCTCATGACCACTTAAGTAACATAATTACTCCTGCAGTGGGGAAAATTTATTTCTGACAATGTGCATTTCTAATTTAATCACAGAGCAAAACACTTCTTTTAGCACCTTAGGCTAAAAAATGTATCCTAAAAAAATGTTGTATTTCCAATCACATAACCATTATGCTAATGTTAATAAAACATCACTTATGCAGTTAAAATCTTATTGGTTTGGATTTTCTTTTTAATGCTGTGCATAAAATGCATTGCATAAAATGGGAAAAATGTAACTGCTGTCACTGAGCTAGAATGCATCATGAGTTCCCCACCCAACATTTTTTAGGGGAATACTTGGATATTAAGGCTTGGTACAATGGGGYCCAAGTGTGCCATGTGACTACTTCATGCTTTCTCAAAGAGTCTTTCTCTAAACTCTTATCAGCTAACACAACGGGACTGGCTTAGGGGCGGGGCACCACAATTAGCTGCTGCTGCAGATCAATAGGACATTGTTATCCATAATTCCCAAGATGGAAGAAAGCGTGTGCTCAGGCAATTCTGAAACATACACTTTACAAAGTTAATTAGTCAAGAGTCTCTCCTGAAGGCAAATCCTACAGCAGAGAATTGATTTCTTATTAGTACTACATGACTGCTTTCACTACTGAAGGATACACCAAGGCTACAATTTTCAATACATCAGCGGATAACCAAGAGTCTCTCTAAACACAGGTATCTTTTGAGCCATTACTTTTTCTACAGATGCTGGCATTAGATTGCACAACTCAGTTTTATGTATTGGAGATAAGTAACATGCAGGCTGTGAGTCAATGCCCCAGAGAGTACCAGCAAGACCATCAAAAGAAATCCATTTTCTTCTGAAAAAGTGCAATCAGACAGCTGACATTAACCCACTASTTCACATCAGGAGTGTAATCTAAGAGTGAATCCCCTGCTCAGAGTCACCTACCTGGATTGGATTGCAGAGTGGTGCAGTGTCAGAGTGCACAAACAGTGACTTTCAGGTGAAGTCAACCATGAAGTGGCACTTCAGGAGTCCACCAAATTCTTCCACCCGCTAACAGGCTCTCTGCTCAAACAAAACCCTCCCAAAACACATTCTGTAGGGGTGTAGGATCTCCTGCATCAGCTATTTTCCTTTACAGAGCCGTTTCTATTGCACCACATTGCAAGCTAAAGCAAACATAATCTTCATTAGTGCATTCAAGATTTAGGTAAGGGAAGGATCAGGGTTATGCAAATGATTAGAAAAGCATTCAAGATTAAAAGAAAGTTGGAAAAGAAAGGACTGCCTCTTTTTTTCCAAAAAAAAAAAAAAAAAATCTGATTTTTAGCAGTTAATTGATAATTACTAGTCCACAATCRGTATTATTTCAAGGAAAAAGTTATCATCTTCAAATTTTGTACATGGTTAAGTTCACCCTCTCCTATAACTTAAAGCTTTCCAACTACTAGTGAAATGAACTGATCTGTGAATAAATWTTTAGATGTGTGGTCAGGAATGCTTAATCTTAAGGAAATTAGAGTTCCTCAGATAGGTCCTGAACAGAAAGCTTCTTCTTATAAACCTACAAACTTTACAAATGTTAGCATGATTAAACATGTCTTTAAACATGTAAGACACTTAGCTCATTGATCATCAGAGAAAATTTTTGTTAAACTTGGCTGTTTTTTGAGCAAAACTACTTTGGAAAAAATATCTTAAAAATAAACATCCATTGGTATTTTGAACCCTTCAMGCAAAACTTAAATTTTCAAGTGACTTTCAAAGTTGCCTTATCTCAATAAGGGGTACAGAGTCCAGCCTTCATTGTCTGTGACTTTGGTAGTAATTCAAAGCACTGAAGTCTGGGGTTTGGATCTGTGTGCCTGTGCGACAGAAAATGATTATTACCTCAAGCTACATACTGGGAATGGCCCACTGCCTAGCTCCTAAAGAAGTGTTCAGGAAGAATGGAAGTTAACAGAGGTCAGAACAATGGCCAGGGTGGTTCTCACAGTTTAACAATACAGCCGGTCAAATTTGCATGTTTTGGATGTTAAATTTACAGGTGTAAGCACAGCTGTCCAATAATCATTAATTGACCAAGATCCACTGATTGTCAGGTCCCAGAACAGCAGTGCTCCAGACACTTTCCAGTAACAAAGCAGATTGTGAGATGTTGCCATAAAAGGCAATTCCTTTAGGACATTGGGATTTTTTACTTTTTATAATAAATTGATTTTCAGAAGTTCAGATTAGTGAARTTCTTTGATTGCCAATGGCAAGTGATTGACCCTGAAAAATGACTGGAATTATGGTCCYGGATAGTTAGTTCCCAGAACTGACATTCTGCAGTATCCCCCCAAAAGAAATGCCAGAATTTGTACATAAAGTGGAATGGTCTCAAATATACAATGCAATGYCCATGTGTTTGAGCAAACACTAACCTTCTGTTCCATAAGCAATGTGTTTGTAGGGATTGCTGCAAATGCCTTGTAGCTTGTCTTGATCTTGTACTGCTAAAAGGGTAAACCAGAAAGCAGGAAGACAAGTAAAACAGGGTAGAAGAGGGAGAGAGAGAGGGAAGAGAGGGGAAAGGTATGACAGAATGAAAGACAATTCCAATCATCTTGCAGACACGTTGCAACAAAGCAATGCCTACATATTTCCTGGAAAAGCTATTTCTTAAAGAAAATCTAGCGTTTCTGTCAAGATTTTTAATTCCTATATACATGTTTTGTCCTTAGGAATTAAGAAGGACAAAGCRAATTTCCTCTACCTTACAGTAGTAAGTTCAGTTTATAGCTTCCAAAGTAAGTTTAACCACTTTCTGCTGACTACCACCCTTAAATGAATATCAGGAGAGACTGTAAGTTTTTCCCAAGTTTTCTTGTGATTTGATACGAAAATGCACAGCTACTTTTGTCAGTGCATCCACTTCAAAAGCTGTTGCTGAGTGGTATGATCCTGAACCACAAATCAGAGGGATTTCTGTGATTGGCTCTCATGAGGCTGATTATGATCCTTAAATGCTGAATTGCTTGTGTGAGTGGATAGATCATTTAAGCCTTGACGCAGCTTTTTAGCTACCACYCAAACAAAATAAGTATAGGAACTTTCACACTCTAACAAAGCTTACAGCACTGGCAATCTAAACCATACAAAATTGATGGGTTTGGGTACAAAAATTCTAAGACCCAACCTCAAAAATYATTATTTTCAAATAATTTATATTTTAGACTTATTAGTTTGCCCAGTTATTTTTTAACTCTCTGCAAACCATAATTTTCACATTTTCTTTGCAAATATAGAGGTTGAATTCAGTAATTTTTAAAAGATTGATGAGATTCTTTTCTARTTATATGATTTCAAGAGCTAGGATTCTTAATCACATGGCTGCTAGATTTTTTTATTATTATTATTAAATAAAGATTTGGTACATTGTTCCCTTTTAGGCAACAGTCTAACAAAATAAATCATAAATTCACACAAAAATAGATTTTGAAGTTAGTGATTGATTATTACTGTGATAAGCAGCCAGAAAAGTTATTTGTTAATCAGATCAGGTTTTTTAATGCACCATTACCTGCAACAGTAAATACCTATGATTATAACAGTCTGAAACAGCAAGTTGTACTTTGGGTCATGCTTTTGTTACTGCTTTRTTTTCTTTATATCTACTAAAAGTCTCAATGACAGCAGAGTGGGCAAAATTTTAATTCAGACAAGAAACTTTTCTGGACACCTATTTTGAAATATTGTAGGGCACAACCTGTTAATTCTTTCTATGCATAATATTGTCTGCTTTAGTCAGAAGCTGGAGAATGAATCATTCAAGAAGTCAGCACAGCAATCATTGAATGAAGAAAGCAGATGAATGCAATGCTGGAACTGAACTTGTTTTTCTATTTTTTGATGGGAAGGGCAATGGAGCATGAGTAGTAATTCACATGAGATTTAGTGATTCTAACTTAGATGTCTGCCATTCAGGTTCTTCAGTCAAAATTTTCTAATCATGCTTTTTCTAATCATARGCATTTCTACAGAATTAATCTCATCCCAAAATACGCAACTAGAAAGGTAAAACAAAACCAATTTCTAAATACCCCATATTCTCTCCATTAGCTGTAATAGAATCCCCTAAGTTGTGCTTGGATATGTAACTTCCAAATGTCAGAAGTCATGTGAGTTGAATCCTGCCCTTTGAACATTTAGACAGCAACACTGCACAGCTTCAAAGATAAATGTATGYATATACAAATTCTGTATGCATAAGATATAAAATAATGGTCTCTGAGATGGAAGGCCAAATTGCAAACATTAAAATAGGCATATTCACAAAATGTATCCTTGTTTGATTATAGCTAATATTAAACTAAAAAATTGTGTAATTGAATGTGTGAAATACATGGAACACATCTTCACTAGCCCATAGGCTCTTACATATGATGAAAGGAGCAACATATATGAAAACTATGATCATTTTGAACTAAAAAAGACTGTCAAAATGTAAAAGTTTCTATACTGCTTTCATGTGCTTCATGACTTCCAGATCCTGTAGAACCTGTGAGCAACGTGCTACTTTTGCAGGTCTGAGATGAGTGGAAAGACTTTAATTCAGTTTCTCATCTATATAAATATGTTTCTTTACACATTATTTCATATTAATTAAAATTATTTTTTTCATTTAATAATCTGCTTCATAGGAATCTAGCAGTAATTTTAAACAGCCATGGACAGTTAGGTCTGCTGGCCTGCACCRTGGTATAGACAAAAGCAAACCAATTCTAACATCAGAGCTTGGGCAAATGTCAGGCTGGGGATTTCAGGGGAAAATGTCCTCATTTTCTTGTTGAAATGATCACCTAGGATATCCACAGTGCATTGCAACATGTGCTAGACAGGCCCTATGAAGGCTTAAAATCAGTGACCAGCCATGGTAGCATAGAACTCCTCAAGAATAATCTCTCCTGCTTTATGGTAGAGTATGCAGCTGAGTCAGTTTGTTCCCCAACTGTTTTGGGTACATCTATGTGCATTCCTGAGCTATATTCAAATAGGAAAAATCAAAGAATATCTAAGAATGATAGCCCATGAAACCGCTACAAMGTTTTTTCCAAACCAGAAAGTCAGAAGGCACTATTTTAACAACTGTTCCCTGCAGAATCAGGAATTTATCTGTCCCTACCCCATCTTACTGTCCATTTTGCTCTATTAGGTCCATGAGAACACTACCAAAGCATCTTCAAAATCCAGGGAGAGGGCTTTTATTTCCTGTGGTCACACAAAGTTCACACTTCACACTGACCTATGGATTTATGTTTATATTTACTTTTCAAAACATTCCTATTTTAAAATCATTAACACATGGAAARCACATGCTTATATATGCATACACAAACAGTTGAACAAATTAATTTTGATTTGTATTAATTGGTGCATGTCCGACTTCTGGTTTAATAGGTGTTGGTTTAATATGTCTTAATGTTGTTGCAACTACTGTTGAAACAATATTAAGGTTGAAAAATTACACATGCCATATTACACATGCTACAGACAGGCATTTCTAGACTCTGTGGTTTCCCCTTGTTGTTCACTCAGCATATTCATACATGAAAAAATTTTGTCATGCATCAACAGTCGTCAGATGATGCAATCTGCTTTTTGGCTAATTCTATAGCTGAGCTGATTAGTACTAAAGAAACCTAAAGGCTGTTTAGGATGTTAAAGATGTCTCTCCTCAAAACTTTGCTTTTTTTTTCTCCGGAAGTATACTGGGGTTGAGGATGGGGTGTTATTGGACAGCCTGCTGCCATTAACACATCAGTTCACTGAGCTATGCCATTTTCTAGGGATGGAAATAAGTGAGAGCAGGAGCTTGGGGTATTGGATGTTCATTATTATCAACTGCAGATGAAATCTCAGACTCACATTGYGGAGCCATGCCAGACCTTTCCTGCACTGAACACCCAGCTGTGTTACATTTTATTTCAGGTAGTTAGATATTTTAGGTCTTCCACATCTCCAGGTGAGTCATCTTTGTCTGCATGATTAAAAATTACACCAGGTGGACACGCTCCTGGTCTCCATGAGATGGTGGGGCAATATGAAAAGTGTCACCATATTGCATGATAAAGCAGAATTAGGACAGAATTAGTAGGAAAAGGGCCAGTAGGAAAGACAGAAAGAGCACAAAAACCTCTGCAGATATAAGCCCAGGCAATTGCTCTGTGTCACAAGCAGAGAATTTCYTTACTGCCAGAGACCTCACAGTGCTCAATACATCAACTAGCAGGAAATGCAACTGTTTTGCAATCTGCAGGCTCAATCATGCCTTTCAGTTTTGTCTCAGGGGATTTTTTCTTGGAATTTCTACAATTTTCAGATCTCTTTTTGTTTCACTAAATAATCCTGACAAGGTGTAACAACACTGTGCTGCTTTGCTAGGCATAATGGTTCGCCTTGGCTTGTTTGTTTTTTAAMAGAACCATTTAGGACAATTGCTACTTTGTGCTGATTTTAACCTCTCATTTCCAATTAACATTTTCAAGTCACCCCTGCCACGGCCAAGCTGTTAGGAACACATCTGACACAACTTGATCTGGCTGACAAGGCTGTAATTTTGTGCTGAGAGAAAAAAAATCAGTAAACTATGATAGACTTTCTGTGATGGACAGAGCTCAGATATGAGTTATGCTCCCTCAGAAGGGAGCAGAGCACAAGGGAAGCACAGAGTGTGAAGATAAGATAAAAGAGGTTTGAAAGCCTCCTGCAGCTCTGATGCCTTCTGCAATTTACTCTTCCTTTTTGCRTAGCAGTTCCCCTTGTTTTCACCTACCAGCTGCATGTTTTTGGATATCCTTTCCTTCCTTTCCCATTCTTGAGGCACACCTTTAAATCTAAAGTGTGACATGTTCCCAAGCCCTCCYGCAGCAGCTGCCATCGTTGCTCATTCTCACACTGCAGTGATGGGAGGATGACAAACAGCAGGAGCATGGCAGATCTGCCAAGTGTCAGATTTTTGTATTTGCAGCAGTTCATGCTGCAGGAMGCCTGGCTTCTCTTGCCCCCTCATCCTCTGTCCAGCACAACAAGATCCGAGAAGTGCCAAAGATCAGAGGAGTACAAAGAACAGGAAGAAGCAGGAGACTGCCGTTGTCTTCCCTTGCTGGCCCTTGGCCACAAAGTCTCTGCTCACACTGAGCTCAGYTGTGCCTCTGGGCTGGTCCCAGGGTAGCTGGGGCGAGGAAACCCTCCTGGGAAGTGAGGAGGACAGGCAGGATGAGGTGCTTGGGAATCACTCATCAGTGAACAGCCACCTCACATCAATTAGATTAAACTGCTTCTGGCTCAGCCCTGCACATAAAGATCATCACACTTCAATTACTTTCCCTGGGAACACACATGGATTTACTTTAGGATGGGGTGATTACAACATGCTTCAACAGTTGATTTTTGACATACCAGGGTTTTGGGTGAGTTTCAAAAATAAGTGTACCAAAGGTATAGCAGAGCCACTGGACACAAATCCATTTTTAGTAGTCAATCTTCCGACTCATTAACAAAGTATATTCTTTTTTTATGCTAAAGGATCCCTACAGCACCTTCTCCATAATAYAGAACAAATAGTTAGCAATTTGAAGGGTAGGAATTCATTTTCACTATATTCACTATCAATATAAAACCTGTTCCTTTTCCACATTTTTTCCACATCCTGTTTATTTTTCTAGTATTCTGCAACATGACTGTGATTTTTGTCCTACAGGGACAAAGAACTATTAAAAAATAAGCATGCACCAAGAGTACCTTGGGTTTGATGTTTTCATGGYCAGGAGGCAGGGAAAAAGACTGTGGTGAAGTCAGCTCTCTGGGTCTTGATGGCAGTGTGCCTGGTGACTTGTCTGAGATGGGAGATCTGCACTTTAACACCGATGAGGTGGCAAATTGCTCAGGTCTTGGAGAGGAGGAATTAGACCTGTAATTTGCTTGCACCAATGAAGAATTAAATTGCAGTGGGTGGGAATTAATGTCACCAGTTCGTGGAACCAGTGGGGTGGAGTGAGGCCGTGGGAGAGACCACTGCTTTGAGACACTGGAAGGGGTAGGAGAGGAGGCACTCATCTCCTGAACAGATGTTTGGGATGAATCCAATTTAGATCTAAAAGCTGAGTGCAAAAGACTTGGGGAAGGAGACGAGTGTTTTTCTAGGGTGGGGGACAATGCACCTCTATGATTGGTAGAAGAAAGCAAAGGATATGACCGGCAAGTGAARATGGGGGAGTAGGTGTGTACTCGCTGAGACTTTTGAGGTGCTCGGGACCTGGAGGCAGCATACCCCAGCCCCTCTGGAGAAGGGGAGCTGGGGGAYGCTAAGGAAGAGGGAGATGGGGCACAAGGAGGTGGCAATGTAGACTGCAAATCTGGAAAGGCAACTGGTCTTCTATGGGAGGAGACAGGGGATGACAAAGAATTTCGGGATTCTGGAGAAAGTGTTCGACCTTGAAGGTGCTTTTTGGGAGAAAGGGACCTCGCTCGAGGGGTGGGATGAGCCTTGTAAGGTAAAGGCAGATGCTGAGCCCATCCTGAAACCCAATAATCCTCTTTGCTGGGAGAATCTGGCCTTATTGGAGGGCTTGAAACAGATTTCTTGGGGGTCGGGGGAGTCGTTTTGAACTTTTGATCTATTGTGAGTGTTGAGGAACTAAGGGAGCTAGGGGAAAATGTRGGACAAGAAGCCGGAGAAAGTGGTCTCCGCTGAGAGGAGCCTGATCTCAAAATAGCAGTCAAGAGAGTCAGTCTGGTTGGCAGAGGGGATTTGACTCCTGACTTGGCTGAATTTCCTCTAAATAACGTTGGTGTACAAGGCTCATTTATACTACATACGGTCGAAGAGGACCCGTAAAGAGAGGGTGGAGACAAAGGTTTAGGGCTRGGACATAACGAATGTGTTTTTATATTTACAGGGAGAGGAAACAAAGCKTTCAATCTTTTGGAAGAACTGGGCAAAACAGACGGAGCTAAAGATCCTTGAATTTCAGTTGAACATGGAGGATTAGGGGAAAGACTTGGACTCCTTGCTGGAGCAGAGGATGTGGTGAAATCTCCCATTTTGCAAACACAGCCAGGAGTATGGAGACTTGGTGTTTGTAGGTTATCAGACAGTCGAGGAGAGGAGTACCAACTCTTTGATGCAGAGGAGGATATCTTAGACATTGAAAGAGGTGAACTATGAGAAGCAGTCTGAAAGTAAAGAGATGAGTCTTGCTTAGAAAACCCGGTTGCTGACTGCCAGTTGTTACAGGAATCTTCCAGTGAAGAGGCTTGATTCATGTTAACCATGGCACCACACACTACTTTCTGATTAATTGGAGAAATTAAGTGGACAGCAGGTGGTTTAGAGGAAAGATGATCAGAGGTGGAAAGAGCAGAAATTAACTGGAGAAAAAAAAAAAAACAAAAACAGAATGGTTAATATAGGTGGAAGCTGTGGAGTTCTTAAAACACCCCACATTTCAATTCTGTGGTCATGTGTATAGGGTTTCCATTAGTACTGCTGTGTGGATTAAAAGCATAGGGCTGTTTTAAACTTGAACAAATAGCCTGATGGATTGTGGGGAGGTGACTGAGGCAGACAATCTATGTGTTACTTTGGGTTTATGACACCTCAGTTTTGTCGATATAAACAAGGTTCAAGGCTGCAGTATTTTTCATGTTAGGTAAAACCCAAGATAGTTGTGCCTTGCATGTCTGGAATCGTGTGGTGCCATCCACATTATATAAACACAATGGAAGATAAGGAAATTTCAACAGTGTCCCATCTCCCTCTRCCAGTTCAGTGGAGAGCAGCCCTTCCGAAAATGGCATTCAAGCCAAGTGCTCTTTTTCTCATTCAGTAAACAACCCCTTCTGCAGCACTGTGATATCACAATGAGAAATTTRCTTGGAACTACTTAAATCAGACATCCAGTTTGCTTTTCATTTTTCCTGTCATTCACAGARCAGTGCATTTGACAGCTTGCAGGCATGCAAGAGTTCTTATTCCCTTCTCCACAGTCTTTCGATACACTAATAAAACAGTAATGAGCTCTTTCATGAGTGCCTTTTTTCTTGGGTCTGTTCTAATTAGGATTTGTCAAAACTAATTAGAGCATACAAGTATATTATCAACCTTTCATGCAGTTTCRTGCTTCTAAAGAAAGAAATTCTCTCAAAATCTTCCAAGTTATTATAATGCTRAAATTAAAAATTGAGGTATACACACTATGAATAAAACATATCAGTATGAAATAGTGAGTTAAGTCAACTGTAAAACCAAAAGGATACAAATTGTCACCTAAGATTTGACTGAGCAATTTGAAAGCAGGGGAAATTGACTCTCAATCCATCAAACTTGATGTTAATATAAGAACACCTATTTAACTATTGTTAGATACCCTGAAAAGATTATGCAGCTCTATAAAAGACAATATCCTTCATTTTCCTCACATGACTTGAGCTTGGCTGTGGCTCAGCCTAGGAATTATATTTTTATAACAAATGTCCTACCCATAATAGAGAGGAATTGTGATTATGATGATCACTATTATTATGTAATACAGTATTGATGCACCATAAAACAAACACAAGAACAGATCAAGTAAYTTTCATGTGAGAGCACATGCTGGAAGAAGTTGCAAGACAAGAGCAAGACTTAGAGACTTTCAAGGGCTAAACAATACATAAATATGGGCTAAACAGAAACTTCAAAACCTTATCAGGCCTTATTACTCAAAATCAGATAGTTCTTCCTGCTAAATGATACTACACAAATAGCAAGCCTTTCAAACCAAAGACTCTTTCTATATATAAGGTAACTGCAGGAAAACCAGGTCAGTGCTTTGGTTTATAGGAATAAACACAAAACAACCACACTAATTTCTCCTCATTTTATAGAYGTGCTAAAGTGTCCCATTTCAAAGAAGAAAGTCGATGGATGTATACAGGGCAAATATTGGGATATGAAAATTATTGCACATATATTTTATTGAATTAAGAAATTATGACTTGCTGAAAAAGCTGCTAATTAAGAAGAAGCAAAAACACTGGAAACAGAATAATTTACCACTATTTAATCATTATGAAAAATTGTTATTAAATATGTAATGAAAGCTAAAATTATTTAACAAGTTTAAAAAAWGTGTGGTAATAAATCTGATAATTTGGAGCAGCCTCCTGCATTTAATTATTAATTCTGGAAGTTGATCAACTACAAAAACAGAGCTGGTGTATGAAATCGCTGTATTTCAAAATAGAACAGATAAAGCTCCCTTACAAAAAAAAACAGATTAAAAGAAAATGAGGAACAAATATGAAACTTCACAATAAAAGCACAGGATATGCAGTGACTTCTAATTAGTTAAAATTTAATAAGAAATATTTATAAGCAGCTAGGAAAATATTCATGGTAACAGATGACAAATGCACTCCTGCAAGTATGATAAAGACATTTTGCAGTATTCTTCCAGTTTAAATGCCACTGAACATTTACATGCCGAGCTAATTGAGCCATTAATCAAGTCTTCAGAAATTATTTTGCTATTGCAACACAGTATTAAAAACATCTATAGATGATCAACCTCTTATTTACAGGATCAGGAAATCATATTCAAAGTGGGTTGAGGTGACTTTTAGAGGTCATCTAGTCCAGCCTCCTGGGCTCTCAGTCCAGACCAGGGCTCTCAGCACACCAGTGGGTCAGGTCAGTGTGGCCGTGTCTCCCGCAGTCTCTGGAGCCCTCATGGAGCTCCAGCCCCCCCAGGCACCGTGTCAGCTCTGCAGCACCTCCCCCTGAGGAAGCTGCTTCTGATGTCCTGGCATCTCCCACACTGGGATTTGCAGCCATTCCTGTCTCACCTGCCACTGCAGAGCAGAGTTTGGCTCTGTCATGTCTGTAAGCACCCTGCCAGTGTTCTGGGCAGTTCCCAGATGCCTGCTTGCCTCTGTCTTGGTGGCAGTCAACAAAGTCAGCTCCTTCAGTCTCAGCTCATATGTGCCTCAGACACATTAACATCTTTGTACTGGACTCCATTCTCTTCCCTACATCTCACCTTGAATTTGAGGCTTGCTGGCGGCCACCAAACTGAGGATGGTTTTACAGTTGCCAGTAGACAAGATATAATAAATTCCCTCAATCAGTGGATTTTTTTCTCTTCAGTTTCTCTACTGGTTTAAAGCCCTCCTGTAGGTGAATTGGATTAGTGMAGAAGAAGTGAGTGACCAAAATAGATTTGTGATTCAAATCTTTGGTTTGTGATTCAGCTGCAAGCCTTTTTCTCTCCCCAGAAGCACCTCAAATACATATTTCCAAAAAATGTATGAAGAAATTCTAAATAGGTGGCAAGGTTGTGTTAGCACACAATGCCTTGATGGTAATAATTCTAGAATTAGCAAAGTGGACAATATGTTAGAATTGAGCCTTCCCCAGGAGACCTTCAGCATATCTGAAATGTCAAAACTGAGCTGGAAACAAGGCAAATGGTCTTTCTGGTGAGGTCACAATGTTTTGGGATGTGGTTACTTTACCAGCAAAACCCTGAAATAAGTTCTGRTCAAAGGAAAAGGGAAAGAGTGTGCAAACTGAGAGCCCAAAAGGGAAAAGTCATGTCTGAGGGAAGGTGTTGCCAATGGGGCCAGATAACCATGCTTTTATCTCAGTAGAATCTGTTTATAGATAGGAAACAGTAAAAACAAATTATCTACACTGATTGCAATCTGAGAGCCAGAAAGTCAGAAGGAAGCACTAGAGATTGTGGAAAACTTGACAAAACCCCTGGAGAAAACACAGTAAATCAGACTGTGAGCTGAGACCAAATGAATATAAATGCCATTTAGAGCAGTCTGGTTTCTCCCAATAAGAAGGTCCAAGCAATGGCAGGAGTTTGCAGGGACTTTTAACTTATTTGTCTGAAAAAGCCAAACCAGATGGCACTTGTGGAACAGAAGAATGTCAAGTGACTTTGAGTAAAAATCTTTTTGGTTACTGATCCCCCACAGTGAGTCCAGAAATTTCTCCAAGTTGAGCTCATGGCCAGATATTCAGGGGAGCAGACATCATGCTCAACCCAAAGGGTAAATTTGCAAGGGCAGRAGTCAGTCTGACTCTCTCTTGCATGGCTAGACTCTCTTTAACAGAAAAATTAAAAAGGAAAAAAAAAACCAAAAACCCAATGCAATGTATAAACATTAAACTGTCATCAAAAACGTCCAAATAGACCAGAATAATGGATTTTTTTTTCAGACTTTGAATATAGTATGGCACTTTCCAACATCAGTCAGGGCCTTTATGTCTCACAGAACAACAGAAACTTCCACTTTTTAAAATGCTTTCCTTTTTTTCTTTCATTTAAACAAAGTCAGAAATTAATAGAGCTGATAGAGCCCTCTGGATCAGTTACAGTAATTCCTTCTGCAGCACAATGTTCCCCAACATTCATCCTTGGTTTTTTTCACATCTGACAGGAAAGTCATTGTCTAATTATGCTTTTAAATTAAATAATGTTATATGCAATAACTCCTACAAGGGACATAATACTGTTCCTATAATTCAAGAACTGAAAAGATAGCCATATATAGAATCCTTTGTATAAAAGGAAATGTACCAACAGATAAACAATGCATCTATTTAAACTTTTCATAGTTTTTCTTCATTCCAGAACAGATGATCCTTCATTAGATAGAAAGCCAGAAGGAGTGATGCTGAAGGAAACACCTTAGAATCAGAACAGCAGTGAAGGTAGATTAGTAAAAGCACCGTTTTMTGAAGTGATAGAGATGGCTAAAGATACTGAGATAATGAGACTGARAAAGTACAGTCTTGAAAACTCATGACTTAATAATGAAAAGATATGCATTTGCCCATATTACATACTACCTCTCTTCACATTCAGGTGAATAGTAAGCAAAGTCAGGCTTAACTTCTTGTTCTGTGCAATCTTCTTCTTCTGTTCCCTCACCAGTCAAGGCAAAAACCCTGTTTACTTGTCAAGTCATCAGAAGCTTAAGAAAGATTCAACATAGGAATTTTTGTATATGGTGTTCCAAAATTCACCCAATTTCTGCAAAAGCTTTCTAAAACAACACCCAAGTAAGCCTGACAGAATCTGCATACTGAACATTGCTAAAGTAAAATTCTATTAGGACAAGTATCTCTTACAGGCTGCTTCCTCTGTGTATGTTTACCACTTTTACACCTTCCTCATGGAAAACTCTCACTGACTTCATTTGGGAGTTTCTCAGAAGAAATGAACATTTCATAATGCTGTGAATCCCAYACCAGAGTGGGTTTCTTATTCACAATTTCCTCAATCAAAGTTTTGTGCTGAATTTGATGAAAAATTGAGTAGCAATAGTATTTCAACATTGGATAGGAAATCCTATTYATTTTTAGAAACAAAGTACCCATGCTTAACTTTGGTTTTTAAATTATAAACAAAGAATTTCATTTTCAACTGATGGTAACCTTGTCAAGGTCAAAGGAAATGCCTGAATTTATTTCATGTGAAAAGGATGTTACTGTTTTGCTAAAGGTGAAATTTTCCATCGCATATATGCCCTTCAGTACATCTCATTGCTCTTTCCAAGATGGGAGACATTAACTTTTAATACAGTAGTTTGGCTTTATGAATTTTGCAAATGAAATATTTCAAAGACCCTTTTTTGAAATGCCCCAGGGAGAATTTAAAATTTAATAAATCAATAAATGCACCTATAAAGATCCACATAAAATTGAACTTTCATCTTCATCAGTTCTTTACACCTGTGCAAAGAGGTGTTAGTCATTGCTGACCCACATTCAGATTAATAGGTTTTTTTACAGCCCCTTCTCTTGCATAAAGGGCTGCAGGTGGTGCTGAGAAAAAAAAAAGAATCTAGGTGTGGGAAGTCTCATGCTAAAAATTTGAAATTATCTCGAGGCTCCATTGATTTTAATGACCTTTGCCAATTTAGACTATCTAGGAATCTAACATCTCCTGATTAACTTGCTGGGATGATTAGCTGCTCTTAAAGGAAAGAATAGATCTACATTACCTGCTCCACACACACACCAGAATCACATGGAGAGGCACCAAGTCAGAAGGGTTGGGCCAGCTCCTTAAGGTCAAAATGTTGCAGAAATGGTCAATGAAAATGCTGATTAAAGAACAAATTGACCAAGCTGCTGTACAAACTGGCTCCATGTCCGCATCCTGAAAGCTTTAGAAAGCAAAGGTTATCTCTAGAGTCTAAAGAGCAAGTTACCTGAGGTTTCTGTGGATCAGTAGTGMTGTGGGGAAGAGCAGCCCCTGCAAGGTGCCCATCGCCAGGAGGTTTCCCTGTYCCAGTGCCAGGGGAAACATGGGATGTGGTCAGCAGCTGAGCACTGATGGGACTGTAGCCATTGWAAGGCTGATGAACGTTGTTTGAGGTTGCAGAGACTTCATCTTCATCACCGGAGTCCGTAATCAGGATAAACTCAGCCTTGAAAAGGTCATTCTCCTGCATTTCTCCTTTGCTTGAATTACACCCCAGGGACTGGAAAGCTGTTCGGGTGCTGTCTGTACAGACAGTGGACACGCAGTCTTGTCTGGCCCCACTCTTTACAACCAGCTCATCAGAGACTGTGTCAGACTGCAAAAGACACAGGGAGAAAGATCCCAATTAACATCATTTTATTGGTGTCCCCCAAAACACAAAGCAATTTTGGCTTTCAGTAGTGGCTGTCTGCACTACCGAAAGTGCAATAGGCAAATGAAGAATTTGGCCATGAGCACAGAGCAGAAGGCCCTTCCCCAGGGAGCCCCAGCCTCCAGCCCCCAGCCAGCACTGTGGGGGCTGCCCTTCCAGCAGCTCCCAGAGCAACAGGGCACTCTGAGCACAGGAATGGCCTGAGATGGGGCCAAAGGAACCCAAAGGAGGGTGCAGTGAAGCCGAATGAGCTGTCAGACCACACTACAGCAGACACGATGGGAAGGCATCCCGACTGCGGGATCCAYGGAGCAGACAATGCTCCTCAGAGGAGCCTGACAGACAAATCTGGGACAAAATCTATACATATTAATGAAGGAACAAAGGCCCTTAAGACAAGGCATTCTCCCAAGAGAGCAAACAGACTCAGAGGTCAGAGAGCTTTACTGTATGTTCAAGCCTCTCAGCACAGACCACAATTGTTCTTCGTATTTTCTGCAATTTCCACATCCAGTATGTCACTTCTCAAGCATGCTTTGGATGAAAGCAGGAATAGTGCAAACTGCACATACCGTTAAATCATTTAATATAAGAACTGCTATTGTAACTCATATTTCCCTCAGAGGAAGAATCAGGTAAACAAACACATTGTGTACTTCAAGAGGAAGCCTCCAGATGGGGCTCATATTTGAATACTGCCTGAGGAATACGGTAATTACAAATTTCCACTTCACTTGCAGCTCCATGAGTCCCCGGAGCTCAGTTCTTAAAAAAAATATTGGACCACGAAGGAGGATATCACCATTAGGAGCTTGACAGTGGTATTTTGGTTATCTGATATTGATTWGTTTCTTAGAACACTCTTCAGGTTCTAGACATTTTAGAAGAGAGACTAATCTGTGCTTTGAGGGCCTCACAGCTGCATCAACTGCCAGAAAAGTTTCCTCTGTCTACAGAGAAACCCRTGGGGATGGATGACAGGGAGACCTGATTCTGCTTTACCTCAGGCATTACTTATAACAAAACCAATATTGAGCAGCTGTAAATGTAACTAATGAGTTAAGCAGCCTGAGGATAATATTCCAGTGAATGTCTCTTCAAATACATCCATTCTTTGCCCAGACCTAACCTCTTTTTAGACAGACAGGACTCTGAAATGCAGGAACATATTCAGGTCAGAGGGCTGTGAACTCCTGTGAAAAGTTTATTGGTTGGAAGGGCATCCAGAAGTGCAGCCCCAGCAATGTCCCAGGGAAGGAGCTGTTACACAAAAGCAGAATTGCCATAAACATTAATATTAACCAGAGGGTTGCAGAAGCCTTTCAAATGGCACAGAATAAAATGAGAGGGCATTAAGTGTTGTGAGGCAGAAAAGGAATAACAAACACTGTGGATTGACTAAAGGAAGGAGAACCAGGAATGCTGTGCTGCTGGCTTCACCATTGCAGGAAATCACAGGGACAAGTTGCCAAAATTCAGAAGCTCTCTTCCACTTTGATACATTACTATGCAGCTATGAAAGGGATTGGCACCTTTTCTGGAAGCCACAGCAATGGCATTTGCTGAAACCAGGATCCAGTGAACAGCTCCTGGTCAATACCCATGTGATAACACTCCTTGCACACCACCCTTATTGCCATGAAGATCAAGAAGGAATTTCCCTCATCTGCCAAGAATTTACCCCTGCATGACTGACACAGGACAGAATAGGGATGATCAGGGGTTTCCTTCCAGTATAAACTCTGCCAAAGGATAAGCAAGCTATCAAGCAGACACCAGTTTTCTCTTGCACAGTGATTCCACATCTTGGTAATTAAACCAAGCACAAGCCAAGAAATCATCCAAGGGAAAGAACTTAAGTGCAGCCATGCTCAGAAAAAAATTTTCTTTATCTTTTGAAAGAATGAAAATGAAAATGCAAATATCTACCTTATTTACTATTTTTTGGTTGCTCAGATCCTGTGGATCCTCTGGAATTGTCACAAGGAACTTAGAGATGTCCACAACCTCAAAATGAGTTGGAAGTTTTCCAATGGTCGGTACAAATGTGAAGGTCAATGGTTTGGTTCCAGATTCTTGAGAAGTGACCTACAAAACATAGAATTAGTTCAACTTCTTTATCCAAATGAAGRTGGTTTTCATCAGAGTTGAAATACCATAAATAATATTAAATAACAGTCTTACACATCTGTTWTTAACTCTATTGGTCATTGTCTTGGTGGGTTTTTTACTGGGTAATTGTATGTCAAACTCTCATTTAATAGACAAAATACTTCCTTGATTATATCCTCAACATTCTACATGTTCTAGTGGTGTGGCACAGACAGGAGAACTTTTGTTTGATAGCTTGTTATTCTTCCAATTTTGCATAACAAAATCAGAAAACCATATTCTATCCATTTCAAGGCAGTTTTTACATTTGTTTAACTCCACTTTAGTAGGAAAATTCAATTATACCAGAGTATCTGGGCATATTACAGCTCCTAGAGTATTTGCTTAACAACTTAAACCAAATTGGAACAACCTTTGCTCTGAAAAAGAAAAAAAAAMCAACAAAACACATTCACATTTTCTAATGCAAATGCAGTTAWTTCTGAGCAATATCTGGAATGAATTTTGATTCAATATCTTCTCCATTTGCTTTGGGCTATTCAGCCAAATGCACTGACCAATTGCCTGTCTGTCTGCTTATTTGTCCCTGCCTGTCACCCTCTCAGTAAGGCTGTGTACAYAGGGCCTGAACACACCAAAGATAAGAGAGACTAAAGGAAGGCAATTTCATCTCAATGTTCAATTCTATCACTGTGCTCTCCGATCACTTCCATCTCCTTCACAGGAGATGGAGCAGGGAAAAGAAGTCCACACTACGGTAAAACTCTCAGTTGCTTTGCCACATATCAGGAAGAGGAACTGCAAATGCCTTCACAAGGTAAATAGAGGGAGCCACACCCAAAACCACTGAACGTGACATGCTGACTTCCCCACTACTTGTTGGTGCAAAAAATTCTTTTTTCTGATTCAAAACTATGGAGTATATTGATTTTCCTTCGTTATATCATCAAATACAAACCTTATGGCAGTTATTTGTCTTTTCAATGAGCTCTGATATGCAGAGGCTTGAACAGTATTGAATCATTCAGGAAAACAGGATTATTGCTCTGTCTTTTTTTTTTTTTTTTTTTTTTTTTTTTTTTTTTTTTTTTTTTTTTTTTTTTTTTGGCTTGCTTGTTTAAAGTGAAACAAATTGAAGAGCTATGACTCTCATTATGCTTCTTTGTAATTTGCATCCATAAGTAAATAGCAATTATGGAACAGAGTGGAATTATGGCTTACATTGCTTGAGCATCTTGTGGCTGGAACATTAAAAATGATAGACACAGATTTCCAGTTTCAAAAAACTCTAAACAAATATTAGTTACTTCCACTGACAGATGCCTCCTGGAGTGCTTGRGCAAAACAGAGGCACGTTATTTGTACAAATGTTGTCAATTGCTCCTTCCTMTACCATTTGGAAGGGCTCTGCTCTCTCAGACACATTCTGGTATGTAGGTACAAGGTGCTCTCCTGCTTTTTCTTCCCCTCCATTTCACAAAAGTGACCARGAACTGGAATATATAATGAATGGCCTCAATCAACAGCAAAAGAGTGACAGCTAAATGCTGCACCATGCCAGGAGCTCAGGTTGTTATTTTAGGTGAAGGAGAAACAACAGCTCTGTCCTTCTCTCAGGAGCTAAGGTTCCTGAGTCTGATCATTGCTTCTCATAAAACTACAACGCAAACTTTAAATATTATTAGCTATCACATTGAACACATAGTCCCTGCTCCTGATAAAAGTCAGCAGAGTGCCATCATGCCCAAGGATACACTCTCTAGTGAGCAGCTGCCAGATCCTACAGCACAGCCAGGGATGCAGCCTCCCCTGAGCACCTGCTGCACCCAAAGGACCTTCGAGGTGCAGGATCACCTGAGCAGGAGCACCCRCCCCATCAGCATCACTGATTTCTGCACAGCTCACACAATTCACTGCAGACTCAGTGTAGTGCCTGGGTCTACACTAAAATCAGCTGGAGAYGGCCTTTGCTTTCCTGCAGACCTGTAGCTTTGCTTTCATCTTCTGTCTCTAATGAGGAAAAGCAGCTGATAACTCTGCCTATCTCGGTTGTCTTTAATAACATTTTTCACCTCTAGCTCACCCTCTAGTCGTGCTCTTGCTTTGACACTTGACAGCACCTGCTCTCTATCAGTGGGCATTCTTGAGTCAGAGCACAAAACACTCCTTATAAAAGAAAAAGGAAGAGAGGGAATAAGTATGCAAATAGCAAGCCCAAACACAAAGAGATTAATGGCAAATTCCGATCAAATCTATCACTTAGGTGATTAGGTGATTAGCTATCACCTAATTCTKTATCGTGTCTTACCCTGCACTTCCAGTTTTATTGCTTTGGTGGAAAAATTACAGAACACACAAAAAAAATCCTTGCTGTATCTGGCCTAAAGACATKGTAGAAATAATCACCAAAACTGCTTGCAAGCTAGAACTAAGATTGGAAAATACATAAAAATGAGCAAACAAGAATTTTTTTTTTCAGGTGGAAGATGCCATTAAATCATGGCATTATTTATATTCCCCTAGTGTATGTTTTTTTTCCTCAGGGTTTGGAAAGCATACACAAGCAAATACAATTACTGCATTTCAGATACTGCATGAAGCAGTGACAGCACTGTGCTCCTCTTAGTTTCACTCACARCAATTGAAAACAGGAATTTCCAGCTGGCAAAACTGGTCATGCAATCTAAACTGCATCACAGAAACCTAGACAACAAGCAAATATCACATGACTAGCCAGAAAACACAAACACTCCCACTGGGGAAAAACAAAAGAGAAATATTTCTTGCTTAAAAATACCTATAAGTGGTTATTTTTATTTTATAGATTAAAAAAAAAAAAGTAAGAATACTTTGACATTTTAAAATGAAAATTTTAATTGAACAATGTGAAGCAGAAGGAACTGTTGCATACTACTTCCCTTTTTAAGGTAGAGAAAATATTTTTTGCACCTTTTTTCATATACTCATCTCATTTACCATCTCTCTCTCTGGTTGATGTTTCTAACYTTGAAGAGCTGAAAGAAATTGACAGGCTGGACTTCCAACATTTTATTACATCTATTAATAGTCACTCTGATATGTAGAGGTAAACAATAAAGGAACAAGCTTAAAATTAAAATATATATAAAATCAAATATGAAACATCTTATMATCTTTTCTCCATAATCAGTAGCAACAGCAGAAGCAATTTAATGCCATACATTCCCTGCTGCTGGAATTCACTTGAATCAATACAGTTACAGTGGCAGAAAAATAACAAATGTGACAGCTATTGAATTCAATACTAAGGAATTCTGGTTTATATTATATAACCAACCTCATGCACATGAAATAACTGATTGCTTTCAATTGCACCCTTCACATTATTTCATCCTTTGAAGAATACAAATTATAGAGTTTAATATAAATAACCTTTGAATATCCATTGGGGGCTATTGGTGGCTGCATAATATATTGCCAAAAAACTTCAAAACGAAAAATTTATTCTAGGTGATTTCCATGAGCTTCTATGTCATCAATTTACAAACAGGTTTGTTGCATAATTAATGCCATCAATTTACAGCTGCCCTGGGGATAGTAACTTAAATTATATTAATTACTGTTTTCATCACCACAGCTTCCACAGCCCTTACTTGCAGAGCCCATTTTTAATGTCTTGGTTACCTTATGAGCACAAATGAACACTTCCATTTAATCTCCCATATGCTCTATATGCATTCAGCACACTGCCCATTTTGTAATTTAAATTGAGGTCCCATTGTCAATTACTGCTTCTCAGGATTTCCTTCTGGAATACAGATTGCTAAAGTGAAATTCAATATGCTGGTTCACGTTACCACTTCTTCCACTGATTTGCTAATGTAAGCCATTTCATTAATAAAACAACACCCTGAGAAAACCTCGTTATTGAAACATCAAGTTCTTCTTTTGAAGATATTTATTTGTTTAAAGAACAGAAAAGGAAATGATGAGTAAATAATAGCAAAATAACAAGTGTGAACATCATGACATAGAAACATGTTGATTGAAGCACTGTTTTGGTCAGAGTACAAATTCACATGCCTACAATTCCTGAGTGACAAATATAGCTCTGACACTCAGAGRGAGCACAGCTAACACCATTCACTCAGCCAGGGAGAGGGGCCATCCAAAAATAGAGACCGAGTTCTGTAATCTCTCCTCAAACTCCTTTTCTATGTYCAGCTAAAGTCAAACCACAAAAAGRCATTGCCTCCTTCTTAAGACAGAGAAAAATCTAGTCAGGTGGAATTATCAGTTAATGAGATGCAAGAATCTTCAGCCTATCTTCATATCCTGACTAATTATAGCTATCACAGTAACCTAATATGGATTAGCTGTTTATTGTGCAATATGAGCTCCAGCTTTTCTAAAACCTTTTACAAACAGCAGCAGATGACCATCTGAACACCAACTTTCTATCTGTGAAACTTCAGAGGAAAAAGCTACACCCATTCCAAAAGTCCAGGATGAAATTACAGCTAAGATGAAGATGCCAAAATTCCCAAGGACAGCTGTGGTCCAGAAGCTTCCCCAAGACCTGTGATGTGCCCATTTTATCACTTTCAGCAGATCACTTCTGCTTCTTTCAATACATCAATACACACTCAAATGCAAAAAAAAAGTATCTTTTGAAAATGAATGTGTGATGTGCACAAAGCACTAAATTGCAATTTATTATTCAAAATACAAGAGCTCATTCAGATGAAGTGGGCTTTTTCAAATATCATTTTAATTAGCTCTTCAGCCCAGCAGATWTCATACAACTGTAATTGCTCTTTCAAACTCTCTACACATATGCAGCTAAGTTTAATGAAAAGTAAGTAAAGACAACATTTAATTTCCTCCTTTTGCTAAGGGCAAGTAAAATACCTTGCCTGTTATGCTTACCTGACTTAATTAAATGCATTGTGACTAAATGATCATAAAATATTGGACTCTAAGATACCTGGGCCTTTAWATCATATTTTAATATCATTGACACCCTTAAAGCCCTTATTTGCTGCCAGTCTCCTAAACCTCTTAAAAAGCAACATATTCCAAGTTAAAACACCTCTGTTGTAGCATCCCAAGCTGCTTTAGTCCATCACCCATGCATAAAACAGCATCTAGGCAGTCCCATGCCCAGACTGTCTCMACCTTCTCCCTCAGCAGGTAATCACCACTTCCTTCTGGCTGTCCTGTGTTCATTTTTTTGTGTGGATCAACCAGAAATTAAGCCAAAATATTGTTGCTGATTTTACACTAGTGTGGCCAGGCTTGCCATCTGGTCTTCCACAGAAGGCAGTCAAGGACTGACAAAAGTAGACAGAAAAAGTTTGATGACTGATTAAAAATAAACAAAAAAAAAAGAAATTAAAACAAAAAAAAAAAAAGGGCTGTCTAACATGCACATGGTTTGCTTATAAAATATTATTATATTATTAGTGGTCAGAAGACACCTTGGGAAATGGGAGACTTCAGATCGCATCCAATTTCTGTAGATACGAAAAAATAACTGCATTAAAACTGGAGTCCTTACAAGGTCATAGGGCTTATGCCCTCACAGGTAGAACATCCACACTAACACATTAACAGACAATTTACAAACTGATYTACATAATATATGGTATACAGTGTCATGATACTTCTGCCCAGTTAAAAATGCTGCACACTGCTTTGTTACATTGGTATAGCAGTGSGGCATAACAGATCCACATTTTCTGTAACAACTCCATCTTGATTATGCAGTGAGAAATTGAAGGTTAGAACTCATTATTTTTCCTGTAAGAGTTTCTTGTAATTTCAGCCCTGTAAGAGAGTCCCAAAAATGCCATTGTTGCCCTCAGAAAAACCTTGAAGCACATTCTCATTAATCAATAAAATTCCCCTTATTGTCTTTTCCCAAAAGCTGYACCAAAAGCTGCAGGTGTAGTTTTCAAATCAAGCACTATTTACATCTGTCAGAGCTGAGACATCAGTCTTATGGGATGATGTTAGCATTTTATAGGAACCCACATCAGCCATTTGCCCTTTGGGGTCCCGAGATGTCTGAGTGGCTCAGGGCAGAGGGATTTCACCCAGAGCAGCTCTCTGCCCTCAGAGCTGAGGCTCACATGCAGTGGGGTTCCACCACCACACACTGAGCACTGCCAATCCTGCCTGCAACACCACAGGAGAATCCAGCTCATTGTGCTGCCACCACAGGGAGCATCCTCACAGTTCTCCTGCCAAAAACACATTGCAGAGCAAGTCTGGTAACACACCAGTTGTTGCAAGCAATATATTTTGGAAGCAGGTGGTGCCCAGCATCACAGCTGTGCCTAAAACATCCCTGCATGTGTCACAGAATGACAGAATATTCTGAGTTGGAAGGGACCTACAAGGATCAACAAGTCCAGCTCTTAAGTGAGTGGCCTGTCCAGGGACTGAACACACAGTCTTATCATTTTTAGCACTGCTTTATTCAGTTAAGTTAATCTCATTGTCTCCTAACATAGCATTAATTTTGTACAATGAAATAACTACAAAATTACTCCAGAAAAAGCAAATGTATATGCTAATACTACATGTCATGCTATCATAGCTAGGAGGTTGCCAAAGAAAAACAAGGGATTTTAAAAGATGTTTCCAAAACTACAAGCACAAGATAATAGCAGAAGCCTTGAAAATGCAAGTATGGAATAGGAGCCCTAGGGCTACAAGCACAAATCATTAACAATAAGTTGTTACTACCTACAGGAATGCAACCTTGTGTGCTGGTGTTCAGAGGAAGCAAAGAACCAGTGTCTGGCATACATAAAACATATCAAACTCCATCAAATTTAGATATAAAATTTGCTGGCTAATGAAGGAGCAAGTAAATTGTTAGCAAAGATAGAAAAATAGCTTCAAGAGGGCCCAAAGTAGACGATAAGTAAGCCCCACTATCATACACCTCTCTGCAAACAACTGGAGATACTGGCAGCTTCCATAACAATGAATAGAAAATAAAAGTGGTAGAAATGAGAAAGTTTTTCTAGGTTGCTTTCAGCTGTGTGATCATTGGAAATGAGCTGGAATAACAGGACCATTTGGACTTTAAGTGTGAATATGTCTGTACCTGGACTACATCATAATATAAACCCCATGTATGTGAGGGTTT